AATGGTTACTCCGAAAGAATTTGGTTCCAGGACAGAAAAGCATGGCACACGGGCCACCTGACAAAGATATTTTTGCCTCCGCTTCACATAAAACTCAGGTGGATGAAAAATTTTGTGAAAGCAATAAACAAGGAAGGTGAAAGTTTTCATTATTTGAGACATGTTTCAAAGAAAAACTGATGCTAAGATTGAAGAAGGCATTTTTGTCGGTCCACAGATCAGATATGACATCAATGACAAGCAGTTCAAAGGTCTGTTAGTGGGGCTAGAGAAAATTGTCTGGAAAACATTCAAGGATGTAGTTGAGAATTTTCTTGGCAACTACAGAACAACAAACTACATTCAGCTGGTTGACAAACTTCTTCAACCTGAAACATTTCATGATGTATAGATCAGAGTCATACGTTTGTGAGATGGACATCCATAGAAATAATGTAAATAAATAAATAAATAAATAAAAAATCTTAGGCAAATTTAACCTTTCATCATTTTGATACGAACTGCCTCTCAGGGAACTTATAGCTATTTCAGTGGCTCTGGCTGCATTCTTTCTGACAACCACAGAGTTAGTGAATTCCAGGATGTATACAATATGTCCAAAGTATACTAATCAAGGAATTTCACTCTGCCAACTCCAGATTCTTGTGCTGGAGTCAGTGAAGTACCGTATTTCTAGAATTGTCCTGTAATAACTCTTCTGAATTATACCACCTCCCTTGACACAGGCAGAATTATAAAACTGATTAAATAAAGTTTGAAAATGCCCATGTCCTCACTTTCCCAATTGACTTGGTAGTTTTTTATTATTTGTTTTGGATTTTGGTTTTAGGTAATACAATATGGAAGAAGCATTTCATTATACAGCTTTTTTGATAATAGCAATGTAGATATTCATTGTCTTTGCTGGATTATGAACACACTGCTAATATAACAGAAATAGCTTTACTTTTAAATACATTAACCACAGTTTATTAATTGGACTTCAGTTGTAAAACGAAAACAAAACTTAAAGTAGAGAAGTTCTACCTCTCCTGATTGAGAATTTTATTTTGTTTTTGTTTGTGGCATGATTTCAACGAATTGAGAAATTCTTCAAGTCAAAATTTATCAAGCTGAAAAAAAGGGAACCAAAAAGCCCTGCTTTGCTTAGTTTTCTATATAACATAAACAAAAGGATACAACTATGATATTGTTGGTTATTCATTTTAAATTTAACTTAAACAAAGATTCAGGTATCTTTTCCTTTAAGCAAAAACCTTAAAAATTGTAGCCTATGGGAAAGGCTTACTCCAGTAGTCCACTCAAAATTTATTGTGGACAAGTCTATTGTAATGACAAGGAGTTGCAAAATTGCATTATTGTTAGATGTAAAGATGCTATGAGCAGGAGTGGGTCCGTAATATAGATTTATTTATGTATTTATTTAGGTTTTTTTTATTTATAGTTTAGCTATTTTATTTACAGTCAAAGACTTGGGAAACAGTGGGGGTAGTAGTAAACAAACAAACAAACAAACAAAATAAAAACATAATGTAAGGTCCAATCAAAGAGGCTGTAAAAACAAATGGAGATTGCAGAAAATGATCTAGTATAGTTCAAATTACCCATATGATCCTATAAAGTAGTTGCAGGACAGTAAGAACACTTCAATTGTCAGCAGACTGGTGACCTCTGTACCATTGCAACTAAATCTGTAGTTGTAATAGAATAGCGTCAGACTGAAACAATGATATATTTTTTTTGCCATTTATCTCTTTCTCCGCAGTGAATTTAGCTCCTTACTAGCTAAAGAGCTAGACATCTCTCTGCACTGTCTCCTTACTGAGCAGACAGTGTCAAGAGTTTCTTCAGGAAATACATAACACAATTTAGCCAAAAAAAAAAAAAACCCAGACAAATGTTATAGATAGATAATGCAAATAAGTGGACAAATAATAGAAGACGTCTGATTATGCAGTATCAACCCCCATCTTAAAATATGCACTTCTAACATCATGTTCATTTGCTTCCCCACCAAAGATAGCTTGGCATTCCTTTAGTGGGCAATAAAGTCTCCTGGGGTTGCTGCATTTTGGGATCCTAAAACGAGAGAGTTTGTCAAACAGCTTGAAGAACATCTACTGTACATTCAGTTTGGTGGGCTAAAATTGCATAGGTGTCTCTGAAGATCTTGCTTTGTTTTCAGATGCCCTTACCATTCTAATTAATTTTTGCATACCATCTCCAATGTTTTTGAACTCTCCAGCCCAAAACTAAACAAGGAAGCTCCTACCTTGAATTTTCTGATGGCTACCAAGTGATGGATTTTTTCTCTGAAAAAGAATTTTCAATTGTAATGATCTGGATCAGTCAGTAACTGTGAAGGCAGGTCTCCCTTTCTGATCATAAAGGAGGATGCTATGGCAGAACTGTGCGCTAGTGATTCAGATAATCAGCACAGAAAGAACTAGCATGAAAGGGAGGTGAGGTGCTGAGGATAGGGAAGAACGTAAAGTGGAAGTAAAGGCCATGAAATGGGTTACCTAACAGTGAGGAGAAACTAATGGAAGTATTAGGGGGAAAAAATGAGATGAAAATTAGAGATTTAAGAAACTGTAGGTAAGCTACAAATGACATAAAGAAGCAGCAACAATCAGGAAATGAAGGAATTATGTAATCTTATCCAAGAAGCAGAAATGCAATCTGCCTTCCCCAAACACTTTTCCCCATCATTCTTTTATTGCACTAAATGTACAGAAAAGTAAGCTTTCCTCCTCCCAAATATAAAAGGGAGGCAGAAACTTAAAAACAATTGAGAGAAAGTTTCTCAACCCAATGTTTAAATATATCGTTGAACAATGAAACTGTAGAATCAGGTCATCTATTTGCACATTTGATCTGAATGGGATAAAAGCATTTGCAGATTGATTTTTCTCCACCATTTCCCCCTCTTTTTTTTAATATACCGAGATAGTTGTCTGGCATTATTATTTTGAAAGATGCAGTCCTGAATTCTGAATAACTGCATAGCTCTGTTTTTGTTTGTTTTTTGTAAGATCATCGCTTCTGTGGAGATGCTTGGGTTCACAGACACTTACTAGACTTACTAAAAATAGGAGGGATCTGAAAAAGTCCTTGTGGATTCTATAACTTCTATAATTGGTGGTATAACTGTTAATGAACCTCATGGAGTTACATTAGAAACTAAAGATGATACTCTGGATTCATGAATGTGTAATCACAAATTATGTAATATATGAAAAATTACTAGCATGCACTACTGAGGAAAAATGGAATTCCTGAAGTCTCCTAGAGAGAATCGTAGGCTAATTGAGGAAGCAGGTGATGCCTTTGGGCTGCTGAAGAAAACGGATTCAGGAGACAAGAACTTGGCACTGAATTACAATTTAGATAAAAAGACTCATTCCTGAATCTTTAAAGATTGTATCCTGGATAAGTCCTTTAGGCTTGGATTTAGGCTGATTATCCTACTATTGATAGAAAGGCCTACTAAAGGCCTACTAAAATGAAGTCAGCATTTCTGCAGATTTCTCCAAATACTTGACTAGAACCTGAAGATCTTCTGGGAACAGCAGTGGCATAGAATTCCTGGAACTAATGATTTAGGCTTTTTTTTTTAGTTTAAACCAGGGCCAAGCAATCCTATCCTTTTTTGATGTTTAGGATTAATATTCTCCTCTGATGAACCAGAATGGCCAGAAGTGTGCGGGTAATTGGAACGCTAATCTCAGGCACTGCTTACTCCTGATTTAAATAATGGATGGGAAATTCATAGAGCTCCCTGAAGCCCAGGCTTATGTGTGGGCCCTTAAAGTATTTGTCATTTATATCTAAACATTATTGATCGATATGCAGTTTCCTCCCAGATTTAAAGCTATCTAGAAACATTTTTCCTGTTTCATTAGAAACCAGACATTGACTATTTATGATAAACTTTATAAATAGTTTGGAGTAGGTGTTTAATTAAATGCCTTTTCATCTTCCCCAAAGCTTCACAGTGGCAAGCCAGATTCTCTCCCTTTATTTTGAACCATATAGCTCATTTGAGAAAAAAGAAATCAGTTTTAAGGAGGAGAAAAAAAGAGTGGTGATGGCCACAGAATGTATGAAAGTCTGTTGGTCTAGCAGCCAAGGCTTTCATGCCATTATTTCGACCGCTTGGGAGAATTTAGTTCCAGCCGGTGTCAAATATTTGAACCTATTGGCTTATATTTGTATTTATTCCATAATAATTAATATTGAAGATCATACACATTTTTGCCTTGATAATACCTACATTTTTATGAATGGCCTCTAGACCCTTCATAACTTTTATCAAACTTTGGAAATGTGCCATGGTAAGACAGACATGGAACCATTTCTGGATGATCCTCTCCCCACCCCCACCCTCTGTCCTGCCAGAACTAATCCTTCCATTACCCCCACCATCCTGTCAGAACTGGATGAGAAGTGAAACATTTTCTTCTTCCATAAAGTGGGGTGGGGGGTGGGGAGAACCAGCCTGGTTGCCTTTTGAAAAAAAGCACCTTTGAGCAAACTAAGACCTGGAATGACTGAGAATCTCCACAGACATTTCTGGATAAGTTCATTTCTAACGTGGGACTTTTTTAAAGGAATTGAGGTAGTAGAGCTGCTGCTTTGCCTGTTTTTATGGCGGTAACAGCAGCTCTGTTTCCATGATGCAGATTCTTCAGAGGAAGGCAGATGAGGAAAAAAGCCTGGTGCATAAATGACTGGCTGAATCTCAGTGGCATTTTATTCTCACCTGGCAGCAATGAAAGTTTCAGACTGGGTATTGATCCAGGTTCCCATTCTCATTTTCAGTGGGCGAGGGTTGGCATTTCTTTCCGGTGAACGTCAGGGGGATAATAGTGCAGTGTTTCTGAGAGTAGAGCAAAGTATAGAAAAAAGCATGAATAAACACAGATAAAATGGCAAAGTCATCAAAGAGCCATTTCCTGTTTGCAGCAGAGTGGTTTGATATTTCTGCATTTTATATGCTTCTGAGAGGAAAAGATGAGAATAAAATCTCTGAGATACCTGTTCGACCTGAAGTGCGGAGTTAAACCGATACAACTGCAATTCTATTCTGTATGAGGTCAAGATGTCCATTATACCTTTTACCAGCATAATCGCCTGGATTGTTCTTACTGTGTTTCATATTATTCAGGACACCAGTTCAGCAGGTAATAATCTCTCTCTCTTTCTGCCTCTTTTTCCTCTCACCCCTCGCTCCATCTTTTAGATTCTTGTGTGGAAAATCTGTCAGGCAATTGTTAAAGGAAGCTTGGAGCAAACACAGTACTATTTGAACGTAAAATTTAACAATAACATTAAAGAACATTAACATTAACATTAACATTAACCAGCTTGCTTATCACAAAATGATGTTCATAATGGTAAATTAGCCTTCTCTAGTCTGTTGGATGCACCAATGTGGCTCTCATGTAATAAGTACTCTGGAAAACTACCAGACTGGAGAAGGCTATAAAAAACAAGAGTGACGGCTTTTACTGATGATGCTGACCGAACCAGATCCACTGTAACATAATGCATGTCAGTAAATATTAGTAGCTAGCCATGTTTTTACTTTTTCTGATTGCAAAACTGAACTGACCTTTCATTAATCTTTGGATATCTCTTTTACAAAAAAGAAAGTTAGGTGGAAGGTAAATCTCATGAAGAATATTTTTCTTTATGGGTCAAATCAAGGTCTATCTACTTGGCTGACGTACTTTCAAAATTGATTGGGGGTAGGATGCAACCAGCATTTGGCAAGAGAAATGAATTGTGGTATGTCCCCAGCACCAGTTGCTCAGTGTAGTTCAGGGAAAGGGCAGTTAGACACCCCTACTATACCATCTGTTAAATCTGAATTGCCCTCCACCAAGCTGGCATTTGTCTTGCTGGAGAAAACAAGCAAGCTTCCTATGGTGCTGTAATCTTTTTCTTAACTGGGCAAATGGAAAATTTGAAGAACAATTTCAAGTAGGGAAATGACTTGGTTTCAAAAATTACCTACCACATCCCCATTCAGTAGTCAGTTGTAATGATAATCAATAATTAATAATAGTTCAATTGAGACCTTATCAGCACTTACAAGTCATGATCTTCCTTGGAACATCAGTTCTCTATGAGTAACCTGCTGCAGCTCCCCTCTTCTCTCTAGGACCCAATTGACTGTCTCAGGGTTATTTGCTTGCTTTTAAACCAGGAATGACTCTTTGAGAATTTTTTTATTGGACAATAAATGATGTTGTGAATTGTTACAATAAAGTTGGAGACATCAACTTTTGAAACTCCTCTGCTATTTTCACTTACTTAAATATGTGGCAGATCATTAACAGCACAGGTCAGATAAAGACTTCATTGTCTGGATAGCAATTAAAAATAATTTAGGCTTTAGCTGGAATGGGGAAATTTGTTATTTCATGAATGAAAGCAAATATTCGTGTGTCCTAGGATAATGATGTGAGATCGAATTTGGGTGGGCAACATTTGTTATCTGTTCAGTTTCTCTCAGTTTCCCATAAATGCTTAAGTTCAGTTTATTACATTTCATATTACTTTAAGAATATTTTTTATACAGTCCTGATTTCTATCTCGATGGCTTAGCCATTATATCACATTGGCTCTCTTAATAGATACAGTACATTTTTCTTAATATAGATGACTATGATTGTAAACGGCACCACAGTATTTGGGGACATATACTGAACATTTGGAAGGATCATGAACTTTGGGTTGTATAGGCTTCTGAAATTGTGAAATTAGGTAAATTTATATTTGAAGGCATTTGGCTGCTAACCAGTAAGAGGGTCTGAGATTCCATGTTCCTATTGAAAGGTAGGTGCTGGTTGTCTACTATACACTAGATACAAAAAGAAGAAGAAGAAGAAGAAGAAGAAGAAGAAGAAGAAGAAGAAGAAGAAGAAGAAGAAGAAGAAGAAGAAAAAGTATGGCATTGTGGTTCCAAATCCTGCAGTGATGAGTCACATAGTCACAAAAAAACTAAACTAGGTTTGAGGAGTTTTCTTTATTGCCGTTTCCTTAAAGGTCTAATGGCTGGTGTTTCCATTAAGAACTTATCCAGAAATGAAGCCAAGCAGGGATGGCACACTGTATTAGAGGTCCTCTTTTCTGGCCTGCAGGAGAGAGCCTTCTCCTCTGTTGTTCCCCGATGATGAAACTAATTTCCTTTGGAGTTGTATAGGAGCCTATTCAAGAAATTGAAAACACATTTATTTTATTAGGCTTTTAATAGTTGGGCTAATGGCTTTTCTTTTTTTTTTTTGGCTAATGGTTTTTAATATGATTTTTAAAAACATACTGGTTTTAGTCTTTTGTAATAAAGTTTTAAAATGTGCAAAAATGTATATGAAATAAATAGTTTTAAAAATCCAAATTAAATGCATTTCTACTATACCCTATTCCAGGTATAATAAACCAACATTGCTGTCTGTCTTCAATAACAGGATTTTAACCCACACTAATATAATTTCTTCATTTACCTTTAGGCTGCTTCCCTTCCATTTTCCTCTTATGACTACTCTATTGTGGAAAGTAGAATATAGTGAAAAAATGAGAAAAGAAAACAAAGCTTCTTCAGAGCTTAGTTCCCACACTATTTGTGGAAATATTATCGATGTAAACATAATTAAGCACAAAAAAGAGAGGGAGGAAGAGGAGTTGTTTTTTGTTCTTTAGTAAGATATTTGGAAAGCGAAGAAAAACATGTACTTCAAGTGAAAGATGTGACTTTAGACAAGTAGGATTTCCTCTGGCCCAGCTCTCAAACTTTTAACTAGAATCTAAGGTGAATAACCAGCAAGTCATGGTCAGAAAACACTGCAATTAAGCTGTATCAAATAGAACAAGAAATGATAAGAAATGGAAACCAATCCAAAATTTCATGCCTCCATGAAGAACCTGGCGAGAGGTATAGTAAGAACTGCTTAATCTATTCCCAGTTCATAGATTATCTGCCAGTATCAGTGAATCCCATCCTTGATGCTGGGTCCACAATAGCCCCCAACCACTAGATAGAATGTATTGCAGTGGTGATGCCTGCAAAGAGACAACTCCTTGGATTAAGTAAATCAAGACCCTTGGTTCAATGTGCAGATGTCTGAGAGATGGAACTAGTGGAAGAGGTTTGATGGGGAACAAAACCAGAATCGTTGCCCCATTCCTCTTTATCCAGATATATCTTGTGCAGTAGAGGTTCCTGCAGAGGTTAGGACCTTTAAGCAAGAAGGACTATATGAAAGGCTATGCTTACTTTTTAGTTTAGAGCATGCATGTCCAATCTTTTGGTTCGACTGGGCCACACTGAATCAAGAGGAACTGTCTTCAGCCACATACAAAGTATATAATATAGTCATATAGTATATAAATGTATAATAAATAATAAACTTCTTTTTAAAAATATTTTTATTATAACTTGTGGGGCCACATTACTAGCTGTCCAGGACCGCATGTGGCCGGTGGGCTACAGATTGGTTATGCCTGGTTTAGAGAACAATATGAGTTGCATTATTTCCCTCTGAAGTACTTAAATTATGAAAAACCTTTAATAGATTATCAATAAAAAGCTAGATGTCAGTGACTGCTTATTTAGCTGAAGCTGCAGCGCTAATATTGGAAAAAGTATTACATTTTCACAAAGAATGAACTCTGATAACTTAATTAAAGAAAGATCAAAATGGCGCTTTTAAAAAAGAAGTGCTACCTAAAACAAATAAAAACTAACATATTTGTGAGCCTGATTTTGATTTGAACATAATTTTATATATGAATAAGATGATTGCTGCAGATTTGCTTACATAAGAAAGTAATGAAGCAATGTTTAATTAATGCTTATTCATAAAATGAGCTTATTTTAATGTGCAATCAGTGCACAAAAATTGAGTTTATATTATGTGCATCATTAAATAAAACTCACATCTTATAATATTTAAGGATTTAATTCTCAATGGATTCAAATGGGTTTACATTCTTGAAAACAGTTATAAACAGTCAGAATGAATAACTTCATAGCATTTTATAATTTTATTACTGGTTTGTAATGTCACTATCTCATCACCTGGCATCACTGGCTGGCCCACAAAAATTCCATGATTTGGCATATATCCCAAATGATTGCTGACAGGCTCAAATATAATTGACTACTGTTGTGACATGGAGTGACAATACGCCTGAAATTTGTAGTATGGCAATGTTTATCTTGCTTCTGATCAAATATTTACTGTGTGTGAATTGGGCGGTCACATAATCAAGTAAGTAAGTAAGTAAGTAAGTAAGTAAGTAAGTAAGTAAGTAAGTAAGTAATAAAGTAGATGACCCCCAAGTCTTTTGTGCAACTACTAGAGCTTTCTCACCATAAAGTTGTCACCCAATGCGCTCAGTGCAGAAATGTGCCACTGAACTGCAGGGAGAAAGTGCAGAAAAGACATAACTCTTCCCTGTTGCAAGGATCTCTTATTTTGATGTTGCAGCAGTGATTTTTATTACATGCCATTCAGAGACACATTTACTGTGTTGGATACCTATATGAACATGATGAAACTAACTAACTAACTAACTAACTAACTAACTAACTAACTAACTAACTAACTAAATAAATAAATAAATAAATAAATAAATGGTGTTCTATATCCAATGCCTGTTTATCTGCATTTTACTACAAACTTCACCTAAAAGGGTTTCAAGTCATTAAGAACTAAGGTTCCTGATTTCTGACTTTTTAATTTCTGCTGCTGCAACTGTGCCTTGAAGTTGTGTGGGTAACCCTAATCTTTCCTTCTCTAAGGGCTGGCTTCCCTGTTCCTCATTTTCTATGCCAAGACAGAGGACAAACAAGCATTCAAGGACTTTGGGTTGATGGTGCCTCTCACCCCATTCTCTTGCTTCTTTTGCTGTGACAGAAATGGTATACACCGCAGCACCTGCACATTGTATATGAATAGGCCTTCTCATACAGCTCAGGCAACTCCATTTTTTACGAGCTCTCCTAATAAAAATAAAATATGACAACTCTAAAAACTGGAGAAAGCTATAACATGCTTTTCGCTTTTAGTAAAAATGCTATTGCCCAAAACTGTGACTTGTATTATTTCAGATCCTAATCATATAGTTTCCCAATCTTGTCCCCTTTTGGTTCTGTAGATGGGGATGAACTGTTTTTCCCTCAGTTCTTTCAGGGCAATGATGGAACCCAACCAATTTGGCTAAGTAAATGAAAGAATTTTTAACCTATGATCCCAAACTGTTTGGGGCTGTTTGCAGGGTCTGCTGCATCTAGCCATCCTTCTGTAGGACAATGTAATAATGGGATTTAACTTAGCTGAGTTTTGTATGGGAAGGTTCTATCATTGGCTGCAAATTAAACTAAAAATTAAAACCCTACTTCTGGGTAATTTATCTCTGAATACTAGTTGAGAGGGGAGGGAGGGAGAGAATGAAAGCAAGCTACTAAAGCCTTGGTGCCCTTATTGGGGGATTTCCTGGAGATACCTTGATGACCGTTAAGGGCTTTGCTAATGCAAAGATTTTGAACATCACAACTCCAGCACTTTTCTCCACCCAATTTTGGTGTCAAGACTTTTGAGATGCTATAGATGTTTTACTGAGAGTGAATAGAAAGTTAATCCTTATATGCATGAAGAGGAGGTTTTTTCATTTGGGCAACTTTGCTTTGGGTATATGCTGGATTTTTAGGAGCACAAGCAATATTGAAACCCTAACCTTAACCCTAACCCTTGGAGATACTGAAATCTCAGAAACTGGCAAGTACTTCAATAGTAAGAACATATGAAACTCGGGATTGAACACTTGTGTTCTTGGTGTTTTTTGAGCTGGGTTGTCTCTTTGCAGATACTTCATTACCTAGCCTGGCAAATGCATCCAGATATCAGGAAAAGCAAACCCTTTCTCTTTCCCCTTCAAGAGGTATTGTCAGCCCTATTTAGTAGTCCAGACTAAGAAACCAATGCCATGGAGATCTAGTACTACTTTTATTGGGCCAGTTATAGTACTATAATCTTGCGTGCCTGAATGCCCTTCTACTCTTCCTGACTTTATCTTCATGTGAGTTAGGGAGGGTCCTATCCAGTGGTGGAATTCAAATTTTTTTACTACTGGTTCTGTGGGCATGGCTTGGTGGGCATGGTGTGGCTTGGTGGGCGTGGCTTGGTGGGCATGGCAGGGGAAGGATACTGCAAAAATCTTCATTCCCACTCCACTCTGGGACCAGCCAGAGGTGGTATTTGTTGGTTCTCCGAATTACTCAAAATTTCCACTACTGGTTCTCCAGAACCTGTCAGAACCTGCTGAATAGCACCCCTGGTCCTATTTGAGATATGTATTCAATTATTTTCTTGGAATGGGCTCTGTTGGACTTGTCTTATGGTTGCCATGGTAGAGAGTTTTCCTCCTATCCTTCAAGGTCATCCCTCTGCCCTCTATAGGTATGAAACAGTTGGGAGAAATCTACTCAGTTCTGTCTCCTGGGATGAGAGCAGGAATGGGGGCAGCTTGCTGAGGGACTTATTCATGTGAACTAGTGTTTCAGAGCTACTCTGATAACAGATATGGCTATTGTCTATTGTCTGTCATGGATTGTGCATTTTCATAATACGTATAAAACACACCTGCAACACAGCCAAGTAGGATTTCAGACAAACTTTTCCACTCACCCTGCTTTTATTTTGCAGTTGAGGTGGTTCTCATTTTTAGTTCTTCAATGAAAAACAAAAGCTGCACTGTAGTCAAACAGAGACCTAATCATATTAATTAAGGCTGAATTTCTATCATGTTTACAAGCAATTTGTTTTGTGAAATATAGCAGTGTATTTCTTTGACAAAATTTATTTTTATTTCTTTATTTTTAATAATTTTTTCTGCTGTCCATCTGCCCTATAAGGCGATTCTGGGTGACACTCTTCACAGTGAAATTACAGTAAAAGGGAGCCTGTTTCCCCAAATTATTAAGGTGTTCTTCTGCTCCCTGTGCCAGCCTATTTATTAAAATGTTTCTCTCTTCCAACAGCTGAAAACATTTCAAAGCAACAGAGATTCCTACACAAAACAGTGCACCAAAATACCCAGCTGGCCTGTGACTTTCCAGCTCACAGAGAAACCATTACAAAGTTAAATATCTACTTGTTGAAAGGAATCAGAAAAGTACAACTTTTTGAAGCAAATTGGAACAATTCCACAATTTTAATCAAGAAAAACAGTTCTGAATTAAGCCTGGACATAAATATTACAAAAGAAGAAAAACACGCTGTGTTTCACCTGAGGAACTTGCAGGTCAACCACACAGACAGTTACATGTGCAAGATTGAGGTGATTGACCCGCCACCATATGAAACCGAAAGCAGGAGCAATTTAATTTACGTGAAAGGTAAAATTGTGAAATTTGTTTCTAATGGGTCAGAGAGGCATATAATCTTTATTAACTATAGGGATGCCCATATTTAAATTGTGTGCTTAAGCTGGTTTCTTTGGTTTCACAGCCAAAGATCCTTGATTTAGATCGACGCCCCTCCAATGAACCATTTTCTGCCACAACCACCCCACTGCAACATTATTTGCCAGAAACTGGTGGTAAGAAGCAGGTCCTAGACAGGAGTTCAAAAACTCTTTTCCTTCAAAACCTAATTGACATTTTTGAGCAAACTGTTTGAAAGCAGTTTAATAATAAAGCAGGTAGTTTGAGCTTCAGTTAGTTGTGCATTCAGTTAATTTATCTTCTAGCATTCATGGGAGAGGGCATACTTCAATGAACATGAAAGTATACTTTGTTTTGAGGTGTCTGAGCTCCATTGTGTTCCTGTCAATCCTCAGAGCTTCCTCCGCACCAAGAAAAGCTTAATTATGTGAACATGCCAATGGCTATTCCACTTGGAATTTCTCTTTTCTACAGTCTGGTAATCACAGCAGCCATTTTGTACTGTTGGGTAAGAAATCATTCTTTTATTTTCCCTTAGTACTAATCAGATGTAGTCAGTGAGAAAAATATCACCAGAAAGAATGTAGAACTTTTCTACATCTGTACACATGTTATATATGGAGCAATGCACCTGCCAACATTTTGGATTTCCCTTGGAACTATATTTATGGAGACTATCTTCATGGGCTTGAATGCTTGAAGTATTACTATTACATCGAATCCCCTCAACATATAGATAGATAAGCAAGAAAATAATTAAAAAAAAACATTCTCTGCCTTTTATATGGTCATATTTCTCTTCTCTTGTTTGGAAATTGGCTCTAACTGAAGCCGGGGCAATCAGCATTGTGTAACAAATGTATCTGCATTTATGGGCATCCTATTACTGGAATTGAACAAGGATGCCCATGAAGTGTCCTTGGTAAAGCAGGCTGCAGATTCCTGGGAGGCTGATTGAGTTGTGCTTGACTTTTGAGCATTGGGAGCCACCTCCAAAAATAAGCTGGGACCAGGAACAAGCAAGAGATACTTACCTGGCAAGAGGGACAAACATATCCAACACCTTCCTCTTCCTATGTCAGCATTTGCCCTCCTGTAATCTCATGCGCTTCCTTAAAAAAAGTCTTTTTACTGACTTTTTACTGTCACCTCTCAGCCCCATTAAAAATTATAGTAGTTTCAACTTTTGGAGAGTTCAAGAAAGTGTTATTTAATTTGTTAAGAAGATGCAGAGGGTCCTTTGGGGGTTCTACCTTCTGCTGGAACCAAAAGTATATTATTGATATATTAAAGCATACTTTTCTGAAATTCATGTATGCCCATCTTTAAAGACACATGCAATCTCTCCTGACTTCTGTTATATATATACTGTAAAGAAGCCAGACTGGAAAAACTGTGAGTTACTTATTCAACTGCCTGATAACCAGTAACACAATCCTTGCTTTTCATTCAACCTTGCTCCCAGAAGGAGCTACACAAGGTTCTCCTTCATAAAAGACTTCAGGCATGAAGAAGAGATGCACATTAGCTTTCCATTTATTTGATATGACATGAAGGAGAAACCTGACTTATCATACTTGTGGGAAGATACATCAAGTGGGATTTTACTTCCTCTTACATAGAATATTCAGAAGAAGGTCATCCAAATCAATGTTCCTTTGGCCTTTACTGATGTTCACTGAAATTTTCATTCTTTGACTGCCAAATTTTTCTCCTTTCTTCCTTACTGTTTTTTTCCCCATGCAGATGAAAAGCAAGAAGAATAGGGCCCTTCAGAATGACTATTTCAACATGACACCCTGGCAATCAAATGGACCCAGGAAAAGGCCCCCTCAGCATGGTGTTCCAACACGGAACTATACTGCATACCGTTATTGGGAACCCTGATGAATAATGTCTTCTCTACAATAGAAATAAGAACAGCTTAGCCATAGCAGAATGAGACTGAGTTATATCATGTTGTTCATAGATCTACAAAGGACAAAAGCCCTCTGTAAGTTATGTTTCAAGCTGGATAGGCAAGAGGATATTAGCAATAGTAGACTTAGAAACAGCGGGATGTTAGATCCCCCCTCCCCCAGTTTTAAGCAAATGATGATTCCAACTGCTCTTGTGAACTTTCTACTTTGGCCTTAACAGAAGGTTTAGAAGGATTATATCCAAATTCTGGCAAAGAGTGAAAGTAAAAATCAAAGAGTGAATGAAAAAAAAGTTCATATCAAAGAGAAAATGCTGAATGTAGGGATTAAACATATGCTTAAGAAATAAGAAGCACCCAGCTTGATGGGACTGGGGCAGTAAAGAACATTTTTCTGTTATAAAATGAATGGATTAGCTGGAAAGGTTTGCAATACTCTGCAGAACAGTCCCAATGTACAGATGACACTTTCTGCTAAAACAATTAACCTGAAAATCATGTCTGGAAGACTTGAAGGAATAGTGGAAAATACTGCCAATATTTGCAGTGATATACAGTTATGCACTGATGCATCAACAAGATACTGACAAAGAATTGGACAAACAATAATGAAGGGAAAGCCTAAGTAATATATTACTTATCCAAATAGTTCTAGTTCCCATTGTAAGAAGGGAGTACTTTTCTTTCTTGATATCAGATACGAATTGAATACCAAAATTCTGGTATGCACAGGGTTCTATGATTATAGCTAAGATTAAAAGTGTTATTGCTTTGTTGGATTCCATTTCCTATGTTAATTAAATGGGCTCAACATAGGTTCAAACCCATACTCAATGCCTGGATAGCTTTATGTGAGTTTCAGCCCAACCTATCTTACAAAGTTGTTGTAGGAAAGGTGTGAAAAACATGTGTCTAGAAGTCACACTTTTTGCTTCCTCTGAGGCTGAGGAGATGGGGTCATCACCAGCAACCATATTTTGGTCATTCAAGCAGAAATGGCACATGGTAAACATTTAATATATTACAGACCTATGGATGTGTAAATCCTCCTTTCTGTTATAAGCCAGCAATAAAATACATAACATGACTTACATCCTAACATCTTTCTGTCATACTTAGCTTATTTTAATTCTGTCTTTACAAATTATAACAAATTTTTATTACTAAGTTATACAAATTACTTAGTAGATCAGAAATAAACCTCTGAGGAGTTGATTTGTTGTTACCTTCAGAAAAATGGCTGATGCATTAAGTTTGGCTATTCTTTAAGCAACATCAATCAAAAGGTCACTTAGGAGGTATATAATGCATTCTCTATCCCAGCTTAGCACATTCATAATGGACTTGATATAAATAGATGATATTTTTTCTATGAAAGGAACAGTGCTCCAGTATATGCTTTGCTGACTCAGTCTCTTCCAAACATAATGTCAAAAATTCCACTCATACAGGATTTTCAAAACTTGTCTTGCCAAAGTTGCTTTTGAAACAGCATTAAATTTGGCCCCAAATAAACTTTTTTTGTCATTGTGAAATGATAATATACTGTATGATAAACTACGAAATTGCTCTTAATATTAAACAGAGGCAATATTTGGGGGCAGTGACACATGAGTCTGTTTATAGATCAAAATCTTGAAGTTGTTCTTTAATCACTTCCTTGGACTTCTTTAGATCTAAAATAGACACAACGTCTGACGAAAAACCACAATGATAGAGGGTTTTTATCCCCCTACAGGGCTTCTTTCAAACTATCTTTCAAGCAATCTTCTAGAACTAGTGGAATTAGCCCAAAAGAAAAAACAGGCTTAGCCAAAGATTAAAATAGCATAACCTTGCTCTGGCCTCCATTGTTACTAATCATGTTTCTAACTCCAAAGTGGCATTAGGCATTAGGTCACCTGGAAATGGCCTAAACTGATTGAAGATGTTTAAACTGAACAATCTCTAATAATCCATAGTCTTCAACAATGAAGAGTCTACCTCTACAATGTAAGAGCTGCTACTCTTCAGAGCTTTATCCCAACCCCAATATAGGTCCTTGTCCTACTTTCTGTTAAGACTAGAGCTATTTTTTAGCCAATAGATTTTGCTTCTCCTCTGTTTTATGTATCAATGTGAATGCTAAAATCAAAAAAGGGTGTCTAGCTTTCCTCCTCCATGATTTATCTCTGTCAAAATCTCATGTCTGGGAAAAAAAAGTATGGTGTTGTGGAGGCTGTGCACTGGAAGTTATGTTTATAAGAGAAAATCAAATTAGTGACACTGCATTTAAAACAAGGACATCAAGGACATGTATTAATCAGGAAATAAAAGTAGAGTTCTACAATAAAAAGTACATTTTTCACTAAGTTAGTTATATGAATTAGGAGAAAAGCTATAGAAAGCATATGAGATATTGTTGAAGTAACATTTCCAAATTTTCTACAATTAAAAGTATGTGGCAAAAGAGTTGGATTATAATACTGTCTTGCTGACACCAATAGTGAAGTGAGAAAGTCTAGTCTCATCCTAAATTTGAATCAGCTTGTTTTGAATTGGATGGATCTTAGTGAATGGTTAGCTAAAAATAAGACACATCTGTGTCCTCTAGGCAATCTTTCCATAATGGGCTTGCCTTGTCCTATATTTCAAACCTACTGCCAGTAGCACTTTCTGTACTTAATAAGACAATTCATTCCTAATCTAATGGCCCTGACCATAAACTGTACATTCCTGTACTGTATAGTGCATAGAGGAATGGGCCTAGGACAACTAGCCACAGGCGGCTCACCACTGCCAAGTCACCTCTGCCAACTCAGAGCCATCAGGTCGCCGCAGGCCAACTCCATACGGCCAACTCACCACAGGATCAACTCACTGTGGATGGCCAGAGGGAGAGCTGGGATGGTGGGCAAGTGAGCAGGTGGGTAGAGCATAGAGCACCTCAGTAGAAGCAGCAACTGCTGGGGACTACACATTTTCAAATCCCCGCCTCTGCCACCATGCCATGCTCTTAGCTGGGTGCAGCGGCATTGATAATGAAGGCTCCAAGCCCAGCGTGGATGCTGATCTGTGCCGGAGCTGCACCAATGCCCTGATTTGGATGCTGAACTGTGCCAGGCTTGGAGTCTGGGGTGGTGACAGCAGTAGTGGGGGATATGAAAATGGGAAGGCCCCAGTCGCTGCCGCCTCTCTGCCACCACTGCCTCCCTGCCACCCGCCCCAAGTGCACATTAGGGTGTGCACTGCAAGGTAATTTCTTCTACACAGCAAAAGAAAAGTGAGAGAATGCAATATTTTCACTTTGGGGAAAGCAGCAGCTTTTAATGGCAATTGTGTTCCCACAATCTAATTCATTTTTAGATTGCATTTCCCAATTTTCACTTTACATGATCTTTTTTTCATACTTCTCACTTGCACAACGTACTGTCTCAGATAGTTGCCTCATTTACATTCTCATATGCTTCTCATGTGTATCTGTGTTTTCATAATGTAAAGTTTGTTTCTCAGAACAGCTCTTGTCCGCTATGAACCTGCTGTCTCCTGAGATCATTTTTGGCTGCTTCTTTGGTGTCCTAATAGCTCTTGAGAGAATTTCTTGAGACAAGACCTTTAGGTGGCTGCACCTTGATTTCGGAACTCACATCTAAAAACATCCTACTCCATTCTTTGTTAAGAGCTCTCTAGAAGTTGATCAAGATACCGCTTTTTAAGACTGTTTTCAATGAATAATCTTGTGGCCATATTTATGTGCTGTTGTTTAACAGTAATGTTTCAAATGTTCTGTTGATATTGAGGTGTTTCTTTGCTGCTTTCTTGTATTATATTTCTGGACTGGCACTAATGTGAATGATCTACAACTCTGGAGGACAAGTAGGTTATGAATATTTTTAATAAAATGAATGGCACATTCATTGCAATCCCCTCTTTTGCTCTATAAGGAGCAAGATCTCACAGCTCCTTCAGTGCTGCTTTCGTTCCAGGTTTTCTCAAGATGCTTCATAGAAGCCACATGGATGCTGTGGGAACCATGTGGTTTCATTCAGAGATCAGCCTTACAAGAGAGCCAAATTCTTTTTTTTTTTTTTTTACTTTAAACACTTACTCAATCATGCTCTTTATCAAACATCTCTGATTTAGCAGAGGCAACTGAATTTGAAAGGTAAAGAACGGGCTTGAGGAGGCATTGTTCCCATGTTGACACACTTCTGTTTCTAATCCATGTTGCCTCTGATTAAATAGAACTTTGAAACTACAAGTACTGGCCAAATGTGTTCACATTAGACAATGATGGTATGAATGTGGATATCATGGGCAGCAGTTCCTTTTCTGACCTGCCTGCAGTTCTGTTATGTGCTTTTGGTAGTGTCATTTGTTTGGCAGGCTGAGGCAAAGAGGCAGTCCCAGAACCAGCGAAATCTGGGGGCTGGGCAGGGGACAGAATGTGTCTGCCCTCAGTGTGGAAGGGATTGCCACTCTCGAATTGGCCTTTTTAGTCACACTAGATGCTGTTTTAGAACCTCTTTCCAGAGAACGATACCATAGTCTTTTGAGACTGAAGGATGCCAATGCCAGTGTCATTAAAGTAGAGAAAGGTTATTGCATTTGCTCAACTAAGTGGCAGCCTCTGTTCAGACTTGGATGATCTTTAAAACTGGACTGGAAAGTCAAAAAATATCCTGGAAAAAGACAATAACATGTTTCTTCCGTATTGTTGCCAAGAAGACGTTATCTATCATGAGATGAGCTAAGCTTGAAGGAAAGTTTTACTGCAGTGTACGAGTGTATTGTTTCTTCACTAAAAAAATTAAATGTTTTTCTTTTCTCTTTGATATAAAGAGAAAAGTTGTAGGGTAAAACAAGCCCTTTACTTTATACACTTCAAAATGTTGCTATCGTTATATATGTTGCATTGGTACCTTAGTGGATTTCCCCCCTTCGTTTGTGTATGTGGTGAGTGATCATTGCTGTATGAATAATGTAACTATGACATACATTTGACGGATAGCAAACTGAACAGACTGTTACAGAATATTGTTGTTTTACTTACCAGAGAGCCAGTTTGGTGTAGAAGTCTAGAAATTTGGAGACTCTGAGTTCTAGTCCCATCTTAAACAAAAAACCACCTGGGTGACCTTGGATCAGTTATTTTCTCTCAGCCAAGGAAGAAAACAATGGAAAATCCAAAAAAACTTGTGAAGAAAACTGCAGGGACTTGTCCAGCAAGTCACTAGGAGTCACACGAATTAAATACACATATACATACATATACATGTACTTAGTTTAACTGGTTATAAAAACATAAATTACAGAAACGGTTGAGATTAAATAAGGAAAGTTAACTCTAGGTAAATTCTTCAGTCTAAACTAATTGCCAGTTTAGGAAACAGTGAAAAACCTGAGATAGTTATATACTACACACATTTTAAACTAGAAGGTATTAACAATCATTATACTAAAATATATTAACAACTATTATACTAAAATATACTAAACAGAAAACTGCATACAAAACATTACTGCAGATTTTTTTTTAAAAAAAACTTGCTGCCTTGGCAAATCTCTTTTTCTGAAAACTAACAGAAGTCTTTCATGTTTTTAATACATACATACATATATATAAACATACCCTTATACAAAATTTGACAGTTGGCCTATTTACCTGATTGTTTGATACCACAAAGCAGAGACTATAGATTACTACTAATACTTAATTTATTATTCATTTATTTCTTTTTCTCTTAAAAAGGCCAGGAATTGTAGAAAATAATATAACTACAATGTTATAAGAAAGTTAAAAGCATGCAATACAAAAACTTTAAACACATATTACAGTTTCCTATGGACAATTTTATATGAATTGGCAGGTATAAATTACCAATTTATTCAACTGTATTCTGTGGAAATAATAAAATAAGTACAATATGTCCATGTATATTTTCCCCCATTGTACACTCCACTTAAGTATAATTTTCTGCACATTTAGCAAAGTTTTTTTCCCACATTAAACCCTGAACCTTTGAGCATTGCTAACAAAATTGAATAACATCTTACCTTAATGTACACATGTTGTGGTTATTTTTCTAAAAATACGTATTTGCATGCATGTGAAAAGCAAGTTTATTTGGGATATCTCAAACTGATTTATTTGTATAAATCATTATGGGAACAAATTTCTTAGTTTTCCTCCAGAGTGTGGCAACAGATCCTCTCTAGTTTGTATTGGCTCTTTTAATTAAAGTTGTGGCTGAAGATGACATCTACATAAACCCTATGTCCTCTACTGAGTATGACATATAAGGCCAGTGAGTCTACAATCTTTACACACAGTAGAAGTACTGTCAATCACTGGTCCTTTCTTATACTGGTGCTCCATGGGGGCGGGGGGGGGGGGCAAAGAAACGAGCTCCTCACCAGCTGGCCAACAGCACTCTAGAGGAAGTCGGATTATCCAGATTTTCCTCTGCTAGTCTTGCGCTGATCACGGCCAGGCAGATCTAGCAGATCCAGATCAGCACCTTTGCTCCTGGTGCAGAACACAGCTAGCATTTCCCACCACCAAGTTGGTAGTACCTGTTTATCTACTCACAGATGGTATGCTTTCGAATTGCTAGGTGGGTAGGAGCTAGGGATGAGTGACAGGACCTCACTCCATCCCATGGTGCTGGGTTCGAACAGCCAGATTATTGATCATTTCTGGCCAACAGATCCAGAGTCATTAAGCCTCTACGCCATTGCCTCCCTACTGAGTTCTGAAATAAAGATGCCTTACCCTGTCCAAGAATTTTACTTATGGGAGATTTTGAATAATTTTCTCCTTGGCATGTTGCTCCTTGCAACGCAGGCTCCAATATTTGCTCTTTATGCCTGACTCTACTCAGATTGTACGTACATAAATGCAATCCTGAGTCTCTTCTTCTTGAAAAGGAAGGAAATGGTCTGGAAAAAATGGCCTTAGACATATAACCTTTGAATTAGGATATCTGCTATATGGTAACATAGGAGGTAGATCTACTCTTCTATCCATGTACTCTCTTTCATGACTCTTCCCCTGGTAGGAACCATACAGCTCACTGGTCAGTTTCATGCCTGCCCCAAATACATTGTTTCAGGACACTCTCAGAGTGACATATTGTGGCAGCCACCCCACTGCTCTCCTCCGAAGCAGCTACTCCAGAGACCAGTCAAATGTAGAGTCTACTCCAGGGAGAAGAACAGGAAAGCAAGCAATAGACTTCTATTGTGACTTCTCCTCATTCTTCAGTTCCAGCCCATTTCCAAAGTGGCAGCTTCATTCCATTCAATGGTAGGGTGAGGCTGGATATAGAAACCTGTCCTGAGGTTTGCACAAAACAGCAACCTATTGTTAAGCATATGGTGTTACTGCACTTTAATACAGTAAAGCTGTTTTTCCCAAGAATTACCGGTAACTACTCTAAAGTTCATATCAAAGAACATGATTAAACAGAAAGTAGTTTGTTTCTGCCCCACGCTAACAATTGTATAAAATAAAGGTCATAGTTCCAATTATTTCTTTATAAAGCTGAGGTGGTGCAGTGGTTAGAGTGCAGTGCTGCAGGCTACTTGCAATTTGGCAGTTCAAATCTCACCAGGCTCAAGGTCGACTCAGCCTTCCATCCTTCTGAGGTGGGTAAAATGAGGACCCAAATTGTTGGGGGCAATATGCTGACTCTGTAAACTACTTAGAGTGGGCTATAAAGCACTGTAAAGTGGTATATAAGTCTAAGTGCTATTGCTATATGCAACCTAAGTGTATATCAGTACATTGCCTATATCTCCTAACTGATGGGATGTGGCAACAAGATGTTGGCTTATAAAGCAGTCTCAAGGTTAGAGATTCCAGCTTGTAGAGAATAACATGAGCGTGTTTGGGCTGACATTGGTTGATCTTGTGGCAGACTGGCCAAATGTGCCCACACTGCATTGTCTCCCACCCCCTCTGGAAAGCTCCATATTTTTCAATATATAGAGGCAATGGGAGTTTTATACGATTACTTTTATACACATATTATACACATGGTTGACTACTCCATATCGACAGAGGTAGCCAGAAAGTGAAGCAAGAAGAGCAAAAGAAATGGATGCAGAAGAGGGGAAAGAAAATGGTAAAGCTCACCAGGTTGGAGAGAGGGTGTCGTCTTTGTTTTGCAGTTTGTGTTTTACCCAGTGCGATCCTTCCTCTGGTTTTGGTTTGCTGAAGAGACAAAAATGGGGATTCACCTATACCTTTGCCTAGGTTGTGTGGCTGTTGTTAGCCATGTTAGCCAGTTTATCATCTTAAAATGATAAACTGAATCAGACATGCCATCAACACGTATTGTACTAGTTTCACCTTGGAGTCCTGATAGAGGGGGCTTAAATACAGATTTCCCACATTAAACCCAGAGAGGTGGTGATTGTGTCTCGGCATGAGCTTGAATTCGGTGGGTGTGCATATCTCTCACAAGAGAACCAGAAAATGGTTTTAAAGTGAAGAAGATTCATTTCCAAGAAACCTAGTTAATATTACCCTAAGGGCATCATTGCAGTTAAATTGATCCTTTCCTTCCTGAAATGATGCTGCAACGTGTCAATGATGCTCAAGAGTCCAGCCCAAATGCCATCTGCCTCCTAGAGAGGTTCAAAAACTCTTAAAATCTCACTCGGGTACCAATGGATTTCTGAACAATTTGCATGTGGTTTCTGGGGTGAACCATGCCAGTAGCTGCTAGCTTGTGCACTCTTCCACAATACACATTGATTTAAGCAATTTTCAGAAATGAAGGCAAAGTGATGGTGGTGGGGAGGCACACTGAGGTTTCAGCAGCTATGAACAGAAGCTTTCAAGTGGGAAAGGAAAAGACCATCAACTAGGAAACAGGACATAGATAATTTAAAACTCTTGCTATTTCTAAATGATGGGTTGAAACTTTGACCCATCTTTGCTTTGTCTTTTTCCCCCACGTGGATAATGAATTTACAGCAATCCTATTGAGTGTAGTGAGACTTATACCCAGGCGATCACAATATCTTACTGAAAGGCACACTTGCATTTTTGTTTTTTGCTTACTTGTTTAAAAGCCTTTGCCAAATAACTGTCATCTCAACATTTTGTGTCCAATCAAGTAAAGGCACATAATATTCTAATACACAGATGGACATCATAGGGACCACACAAAATTCAGGATTGTAACTGAGGGACATTTATTTGTTTTTGGGGTTTTTTTGGTTACAAAATTTTATTGATTTTATGGAAATACGTAATATTACAATTCTATTAATATTACTAGCATCGGATAAGCAGTGTTTATACATATATACAGGATATATACATGGTGTCTCTTAACTTGCTTATTCCTTTTATTAATCACACCATCCTTTACTCCTTCCTTTATTTTATCATCCATCCATTTATACCACCCTTCCCATACAGTATAGTAGTCAGAATTTTCATCCTCGTTTATCTCATGAGTTAATTTACTCATCTCCACTCATTCAAATACTTTCCTAATTATATGCTCTTCTGGTGGTAATCCCTTTTCTTTCCAGTATTGTGCATATATCAGTCTGGCAGCTGTTGTAATATGTATTATTAGATACTTCTTTTTTTTCCCGTAGGCCCTTTTTAGTATTCCCAGGAGAAATGTTTCTGGTGCCAATTCAATATCTTCATAAATAAATAAATAAATAAATAAATAAATAAATAAATAAATAAATAAATGACATTTATTTGTATGCATGCACACAACTCCCCGCTTTTAACTATCACACACACACACACACACACACACACACACACTTATTATATTTTTTTGTTTAAATTTGCACAGATATTCTATCATTCTAATGACTCAACACTGGTACTCTGCTATCACTTAGTGATCAATGGGCTTTCAAAGACCAGCTTGCCAAATGCTCCAACACTGGAGGTTTTAAGAAGAGATTGGATAACTGTTTGTCTGAAATGATATAGGGTTTCTTGCTTGAACAGGGGGTTGGACTAGAAAACCTGCAAGGTATCTTCCAACTCTGTTATACTGTTACTAGAACTTGGTCAATATTTTTAAACATTTGAACATCTGCCTTGTGAAGTAACAAGTGGCATCCATGGCATTAGGAACTGGCAAGGGTAAAGTGCTGCATGTGAGGTCAAATAATTTAAGGTCAAGAGCTAGTGGACAATAGTCATTCCTCAAGGTGTGGCTACACAGGAAGGGTTGGGAGCTTCCCAGAGTTGGTTATAATATGGGTGGCTATAAAATAAAACAGTAAAAAAAAAAAAAAGTAAAATAAGAATTATGTTCCTTTGCTAGGAAACAAAAGTGCCATGTTTTCCTTTCATTATTCTGACTATTTTCTGTGATTCTTAATGGGCTGCAGAATCCAGCACAGTTTAGGAGACTCAAGGCTTATCAGCTCCTATCAATAAAACTGCTTTTTTCCATCCTACATAAGATGGTGCTTTAGGGTTGGTTTATCTTACCTCGACATTATTACATTTTTGAAAATAACACCCACATTTCCTTTCACTACTGAAGTTGGTATCAGGAGTGATCTCTTCGGAGGTTTATGTTGCTTCCTATAATCTGCAGAAATCATCAGCACTACGTAAAGCCACAACAGTAGGAAAACAATAGAACTTGTTCTGTTTATAGCTAACCGACATTTTCCTGCTACTCCTGTTTACAACATTTATCAGTTTTTTATACTCTGCTGAAGGAAGTTGCTGTTTCTCCTTCTCTAAAAATGAGTTTAAGGTAGCTGAAGGGATGTAAAACTGTTTTTTTTGGTTACGCTTTTTTAGCCCCAGAATGTAATTTAACCTAGCAGAATCACTAGTTTACAGAGACTATTATGTTTAAATGAACAGTGTTGATATTAGTGAAGTTTGGTGAAACAACTTACAAGTTTCAAACTTGAAAGGTCTGTTGGCCAAATTTTGATTTCAATAAAAAATTGGTAAATTGGTCTTCCTCAAATGGTTTGCATTTGAATGCATATCATCCCAGCATGGATATTGACATTCTTGACAGATGATCCTAGAAATGATAGACAGAAAACTGAGGAAAGCTGGTAGGCACCTTATCATAAAACCATGGAAAAAAGCACCAATATATGAATTAAGAATTATGTACCATCCAGAGTTGCTGGATGTAGGGTGGCATATAAACTTAATAAATCATTGTTAAGAATACATCAGTCAGTCTATTGCCATTTTGTGTTAGTTGCACAAGCCCATTCCATACAACTACTTGCATTCTTGCTTATTTTTTTAAAAAAATTCTTACATATAACTACAAATCTGCACAAATCTCTCTAAATATATTTTCTCTAAAAATGTAAATGCATTTTAGAACAGCTAGAGGCACAGAAGACAAGAAGTATGGATATAGGGGAGACTCATTATGTACAAACCTAGTTTCTAAAGAATAGACAGACAGACAGATATAGGTTTAGACATAGATGTACACATATACACATACATACATACATAGATACATACATATTTTATATATATTAAATGTTATATGAACATCTGAATAGTGTCTATATTGCACTGAGGCATTCTTCCCTTTCATTACTTGGATTTCTTTTACTTTATTTTAAAATAGAAATAGTTTTTGAAATAATGAACTCATGGGAAGGAAGCACAATCACATGAGCATCATCTAATAATGCCAACAACATCAACAAGATTGTAGCAACACAAACGGCCACAATATCAGTATTAAAACACTTTTGAGAAACAAAATACTGAAGTTTGTAATTACTGTTAAACAGAGTAAGGAATAGGTATCTCCAGGGGTAAAATCCAGCAGGTTCTAACAGGTTCTGGAGAACTGGTAGCAGAAAGTTTGAGTAGTTCAGAGAACCGGCAAATACCACCTCTGGCTGGCCCCAGAGTGAGGTGGGAATGGGGATTTTGCAGTATCCTTCCCCTGGAGTAAGGTGGGAATGGAGATTTTGCAGTATCCTTCCCTTGCCATGCCCACCAAGCCACGCCCACAGAACCAGTAGTAAAAAAATTTGGATTTCACCACTGGGTATCTCTGCAACAAATGAATATTAGAACTCTGTATTTAGCTTGCTGGAAGATGGGGAAATAATACCTCATTTAGAATGGACAAGAAGATTTGTAATCTTGTTAAATTGCTGAGGAAAGGAGAGATCCTGGTGATATATCCATGTTGTTTTTCAGCAACAGTGCTGGAATGGTTTATCATTATTTTGCTCCAAGCTGCTTTCTGAGACTAAGCAATAGCCCTGTTTTGTTCAGGGCTATTTTTTAATGTTTAATATGGAAGAAATTATGTTGCAGATTGAAGAGCTAATATAGTGATTTGTTTTGTTTTAAAAGAGGATTCTTTTCCCCAAAGCATTTTGGAATGTATTGTTTCAACTTAATTAAATAATTAATGGTTTAGTTTTCATGGTATATTATTGTTCTTTCTTTTCTCTCAGACAAATAAAATATGTCAGACTGTTAGTATTTATTTGAAGACTAAGTTGAAGTCAATGGGACCTTGTCCCATAAATGTTCTCTATATGGTTTTTTTTGGCAAAATTGTATTCCAAATTGTCTGGTTCTGACATTTACTAACCGTGATTGATCATTTATATGTAGTCATTCTTGCAGATTCAATATTATTTAGCATTAGTTCTGGATTTCTATTGATACTCATCACAACTATTTCCTCTATCATCCATAAACTGGATCTTGTACATGTTATTAGTGACATATCTGTATAAAACTTTCATTTGCTCAGCATTTGATGGCTACTAAACATATTCTACCTTTTTTTATTTTAGTTGATTTTGGTTTATTCTCTGATTTATTCTCAGTATTCTCAGAATATTCAGAATGAATCTCCCAAACCAGTATGTATGCATGTATGTATGTATGTATGTATGTATGTATGTATGTATGTATGTATAAAATTTATTGGCTGTCCATCCTACCATAGCTTACTGTAACTCTGGGTGGTTTATACTTACATCTAAGTTAAAACATAAAAAGTTAAAATCAAACCTTAAAACCAGACACATGGGAAGGGCAGGGGCGGAGTCAGGATGGAGATGGGATCTGTTATTATTCAATCAAACATCTCCACTGAGCTGTTCCCTCACTGGGGCCCCAAGCCATCTAGCAAAGCCATGTGTTTAGGCCCTTACGAAGAATAGGTGGGTTCTTTCGTTTGGGGCCAACGAAGAAGGCCCTTACGAAGAATAGGTGGGTTCTTTCGTTTGGGGCCAACGTCACATCAGGGGGCGGGGGGGAAAAAGAACTTTCAGAGGGCAGGAGCAACAGCAGGGAAGGCCCTCCTCCTGGACCCTGCCCGCCGGAATTGTTTACTGGAACAATTTTCTTTTCTATTTGCCAGACATGTTTATGGGAGGGTCAAAGAATCTGAATGTGTCAGTGCCAGTCAAACTTCGCAATATATGAGGGTCTGCATATTCTTGGAGATGGAACAAAAATGATACATTGAACATAAGACATTAACACATGGGTCTAATTCTGAAAATTTGTTGTCCTCAAGAGTTTAACAATAGAATCTGACACTCCTGTCAGACTAGACCCCAAATGTTCTGTGTTGCTGCCCCTGTGTAGTGATGATCATATCTGAGCCCAGGAAGAGAGGCAAAAATCATTACAACCAGTGGTGGGTTTCAAATTTTTTTTACTACCGGTTCTGTGGGCATGTCTTGGTGGGTGTGGCTTAGTGGGCATGGCAGAGGAAGGATACTGCAAAATCTCCATTCCGTCCCCAATCCAGGGGAAGGTTACTGCAAAATCCCCATTTCCTCTCAATCAGTTGGGACTTGGGAGGCAGAGAATAGATGGGGTTGGGGCCAGTCAGAATTTTTACTACCGGTTCTCTGGACTATTCAAAATTTCCACTACCGGTTCTCCAGAACTGGTCAGAACCTGCTGAAACCCACCTCTGTTTACAACATATTAAAATGCTGATTCACAATTTCAAAGCGCTTCAGAAGGATGATACTGTATCTGAAAAAAGCAACTATGTTTATTTTTTCTTCTCTATAAACTCTAGAATAGGAAAAGACATTTTCAAAGTACCAGATTTATACAGACAAACATTAGTTTTTGGAACCATCCACCAATCAAATGCTTGTTCACACAACTTTCACTGCCCACCTCCTTGAAGCGTTACAATGGGTTTGTTCTCCAAAGAGTTTCCCTAGGTTTTCACCATGAGCTTCAAATCATATCCTTGGATAAAATATGCCATGAAAATAATTCACATTGACACAGGGCCTAGACACAGGGCCAAGTTGGTTATGTTTGTTTTTAATTTTTTAAAAAAAGAAGTTCCTTCAAGCAACTTAAAAGATGGGATGAAAACTCTCATAGAATAATCACCAAACATCCTGAGGATTTAGTATGAGGCAAACATTCTTAGAAAACTGGAAAGGATGATACTTGAGCCCAGCTATGGTTTCCTATCATTAAATGGAGGCAAGGAGATATGGCTCCTTCAATCATGCCTTGTCATTAATGATGATTTTCTTTTATACAGCACGTAAACTGGTAGCATTGTAGAACTAAGTGCCATGCTATATTATAACTTCTGTTTTGTCATGACAAAAGGATAGGAGAGGTAATTACAAGGGAGCAGAGCTCTTATTTTTCTTTTCCTCTTGCCCCAAAGTGGCACTTTATACCCAGTTTGAAACCATGGTCAGGTTGCACAGCTGATGGGCTGCAACCACGGACTGAAGAGGTTTAGAACAATAAGTCCGCAATTCCACTGTGCTGTCCCTGTTGCCATTCTATTTCAATTGTTCCGCTGACATTTATCAGCTAGCAGATGATGGTTCTTTGTTGTTTATTCTCGCTGTCTTGGCAGTGAAAAAGCTGGTCTTCTGTCTGTATAAAGGGCTTCCCCTGAGTCCTACAGCAGCCCCGCTGGCACAGAATTGTGCTTTCCTGCATGGCTTCAAAATTGCTTATAAATTGGTTTCAATACTTAAGTTCTTATTGAGCATTAAAAAAAAGACTTTGGCATAATACTTCTTACTTTGTTCCTGCATGGGTTTTGGAAAAAAAAACATTATCTACCAAGTCATCTCCGTGACCTTTTTTTTTTCAGTTCAAGTAAAAAAAAAAAATAACTTCTCCTTCTCCTCCTCTTTTTCCTCTGAAACAGTTTTATTTATATGCCTTTGGGAAAACTATAATTATGCTTAATTCAGATGTGATCTCAATTTTAGAAGACCTTAGAAATATTAATTTCTAAGTAGAAGGTCAAGTACTGAGCCTGGAGCCTGGATAGCTCAGCAGACTAATGCATTGTAATTTAACTCCAGCTGTCTGCAATTAGTAAGTTTGAATCTTGCCAGGCTCAAGGTTGACTCAGCCTTCCATCCTTTCTAAGGTAGATAAATTGAGGACCCAGTTTGTGGGGGCAATAAGCTGACTTTGTAAAAATATACAAAAGTATGAAGGCTATTGCTTAACGCATTGTAAGCTGCCCTGAGTCTCCGGAGAAGGGCGGCATATAAATCAAATTTTTTTAAAAAATTGTCACTATGAGAGCATTTGTTGCCTTTTTTTGCCTTGAATATATAACCCTAATCCTAACTGAGATGTGACACAAGAAAAAGTATCTCCAAAAAAACAGTAAAGATGAAATCACTGGTGGCATCAATGCAAAAGTTTGGAGTGAAGGTTTGGGATCTTGAAAAGTAATAAAGTTGTTGCCATATTTTGGAAAAATATACAATAATGTTGGAAGCCACCCAGAGTCACCATGCGGTGAGATGGGCAGCAAGCCAACCAACCAACCAATAAGACCACAGTATCTGATATTGATTTTCTTCTTCTTGCATCTGGATCAATCCAGAGACACTTGGAAAAAGTTAAAAAAAATTGTCAAAGAATGTTATTACACTAAACAGCAAATGTAATTTTAATGGTGAATGGTAAAACACTGAGTACAGTTTAAACCTTGTCATCCCAGCAAAAAGATATGTGTGTGGAGAAATCAATTATGGTTGCCATGATATGTACTTA